ATAGATTCTGATTGTAGGATCTTGACATCATGTAGGTGTCTAGAGGTGTTGACCTTGCCTTATTTCGAGATTTGTGACTGTGAACCGTGCTGCTATCAGGTGGGTACATTTATGATGTATTCCATATTTATCGCATTTATTATTTCGTGTAATGTTTTCTTTTGAAAATTTTTGTATGCATGAGAACTCTAGTCTAAGTGTCCCGAATGCTAGTGCCTTGATGAATGCGAAAGCAGTGGAAGTCGCCTGCCCGTTGTATCCGGGAGGTGGACACCCGAATCCGTGGAGAGCGGAGGGGATTGTCTGATTTACTCGAATCCGTGTAGAGCAGAGGGGTAATTCAACTTCACCCGAATACGTTTATTTGGAACTTGTTTTATTGATAGTTCGTGCATGTGTGTTTTGATGATGTTAGTAAGTAGCGCCCGTTTCTCGATAAATGTTTTAACTTGGATTTAAAAAAAAAACTCTGATTTTTTTTATTAAATAAATTTCGCTAAATTCTCTAAAATAAAATGGGGCGTTACACTGCTCTCCCGTTGGTCGAGTTGACTTATAACAACAGCTATCACTCCTCGATCAAGATGGCCCCTTATGAGGCTTTATACGGGCGAAAGGTCCGAACACCCTTGTATTGGGATGAGGTCGGGGAGAGGAAGATCATGGGTCCGGAGTTCATTCGTAGGACTTCGGAAGCTGTTGAGGAGATCCGGAAGAATATCCGGTCTGCCTAGGAGAGGCAGAAGGTCTATGCCGATCGGAAGCGACAAGAGCACGAGTATGCTGTCGGTGATCACGTCTTCCTGAAGGTCTCGCCCATGATGGGTGTGATTCGGTTTGGGAAGAAGGGGAAGATTCAGCCTCGTTATATCAGACCCTTTGAGATCTTTGCTCGAGTCGACGACATGGCTTATCGACTAGCTTTTCCACCGAACTTGGCAGGGGTGCATGGTGTGCTTCATGTCTCGATGCTGCGTAGATATGTACATGAACCTGACCATGTGGTGGACTTCGACGAGCTACAGGTCGAGCGAGACCTCATCTATGAGGAGGTGCCGGTTGCCGTACTGGACCAGAATGTCCATCAGCTGAGGAACCGGGCAGTGAGGCTTGTGAAGGTGCAGTGGAGCTGACATGATGGGTCTGAGGCGACTTGGGAGAAGGAGGTCGAGATTAGGAGGAGATATCTGAACTTCGCTTTTTGATCCCCTTTGTACTCCTTTGTGTTCTATGGTCGGAATTCTTTGTAAAGTGGGTTAGTGAGTTTGAATGATGGAGAAACAAGTTCAGAACAACGAAGATACTAGCATAGAATGTGGATGTGACCATGTTAGTGACTGCAGGTGACATTGACATTGTAGGTACAATGTATGCAGGTGTTCCGCACCCGAAGGGCCCCGGTTAGTGGGTAAATCGCATGCAAAGTGCCGCATTGTCAGGTCCCGAACCATAGCTAGTCGAGCCAAAGGTGCTTTGCATTTCCATAAATACTATCAATGGGTAGACAGCAAAGAATGATGATCCAGGAGATAGTTGAACAAGTAGCCTTGATTCGGCAACAATCTTCAGTCAATAAGCATAAATTCAGTTTGAGACAGGGTATTCCTGAAAGATGGACCGATTGAGGTATCGTTCATTTAGGAAGAAAGAGAAGTTATATCCATGTTATATAAGTTGTTTAGAAATTCTAGAACGAGTCAGATTAGTATTCTATCGATTAGTTCTCCTCTAGAGTTGTCAAGTGTGCATAATGTTTTTCACGTAACAATGTTACGTAAGTATGTATGCAATCCAGAGTATGTGCTTCTGCACAATGAGTTTCAGTTTCAGTAAGATTTAACTTACAAGGAGCAGCCGATAGCAGTTTTGGACCGAAAGTTTCATTGGCTGAGAAATCGAGATATTTCCCTCGTTAGTATAAAATGGAATCGCCACGTAGAGTTAGATGCCGCTTGGGAGCTAGAAGTTGATATTAGCACTCGTTTTCCAGATTTCAAGTTCTGATATATACATAGTTTGTATGTATCTCCAATTTAGTATTTCCGAGGACGGAAATATTTGTAAGGGGGGTAGATTGTAACATCCCATTCGGTTATTAATAAAAGTAACAGTTTTAGTTCCGAGTTTGAACTAATTTACTTTATTAATAATGCTTGTTCCTAGTTATGAGCCAAGTATTAAGTAATTCAGTTTAAAGTTCGACTTTAAGTTGAAAGTATTTTCGATTAAATTTTATTCATTAATCAAGTTAGTTTATTAATTAATTCTGGTCCGTTTATTTAGAAATGGACTTTATTAGTAGGGATTAATTATTTCAAATTGTCGAATTAATCGAAATCAAGAATATTTCGAAATAATTAATTTATTTAGACATTTTGTCTAACTTTAGAGTTTAACTGAGATATGATAATATTTTTACAGCGAGAGTTGTTAATTTTAGCGTTATCGGTATTGTCGATCTTATATTTATCGACTTGTTAGAAATTTATCGAGATCAATATAAGCTATTTATATTTTTCATCCTTATAAGATAAATAATTTTGGCTTAAGATTTTATCAGATGTAAGATGTATTTGGGAAAAAAAAAAAATCACGGGTCTTTTTCCTTCCAGCTCAAATTATGAATCAAATTGAATTAAATTATGAAATTTGACTTGGATAAAAATCCTTGAGATATAGTCATATATAAGTTGACTTGGCTTAAATTGAATCAAATTATGAAATTTGACTTGGATAAAAATCCTTGAGATATAGTCATGTATAAGTTGAGCAGTTGGAAAAGGTTCCGGTTCGATTAAGTATGACCGGTCGGTTCGAATTATTTTTGGTTCGAGTATTTCGGTCTGAGTTTTATTCCGAAATTTAAGTATTTATCCGAGCCAAACTAGTTTACTTAAGTATATCAGTTTTATTTCTGGACTTAGTAGGATTTTAGAGAACCGATAGAGTGTTCCATTATATCCGGATAAGTTATCTGATAGAGTCGAGCATCTTAGCACCTTATTGAGTATTACGAGCATAGTACTTAGTATATTTGTTTATATTTTTATGTAGCTTGCAGATACAGCTACCCAGCATATCACTTACAGTTTTCAAATGTTTTTCAAAGAAGAAAAGGTGGGGACCCAGCCTGGGTATTACATTGCTTATAATCTTGTACCATGTATGAGGTATGTATGTAGATATTTACTCGAATGGTCAAGTTTCCGTTCGTGGTCCAGTTAAGATGAATTTATGATCACCCGGTCTTGTATGGAAGGTTTTCCCATCCTGGGTTTCTGGGGAGGCGACCCCCAGATTGTGATCACATGATAATCCGGACAGTTCCCGGATGTTGCATCAGTAAAGTAAAGTTTTATTTATGTATATAGTTAGTTCATGATATTGGATTATATGTGCTGTATATTCAGTATGGGTTTTTACGGAGTACAGTGGATTAGTACTCACGCCCCACTATTATCATTTTCAGGTCACAGGGTCGGTGCAGAGGTGTGAGCTGAACAATGGTGGCGTGGATTCAGAATGTTATTATTTACGAGCACATTTATTTATACTATCTGTATAAAATGATGTTACGTTTTTTAGAGTTCCACTACGCATTTCAAGTTTCGAACCTGCATGTTCAGTATTTTCCGACTTACAGATTTTAACCAGTTCAACAGTATGAACATGGTTTAGTTTACCTGCATGTTTGATTAAATCTGTTTTCTTTATGTCTAAAATAGCATTTAGACCAAGTTTAAAGTCATCCGAGTTAAGTGCAAAAGATTTCGAAAAATTTATAAGTATTTTCGAAGTAAGAGTTTCGAAAAATTTACTCTGATAAGCGGGGTGTTACAACCGGAAGGACAACAAGGATCCTACAGATGTAGGAAAGCGTATTTAGCTCAAAATGTGATGTTGGCATGCGATGTTGACCTAAAGTTCACTTTTGTTCTAGCGGGCTGGGAAGGCAGCGCAAACGACGAATGCATTTTCAATCACACATTGTCGGACCCCAGATATCATTTCCCCTTTCCACCACCCGGTAAATCGACCATGACACTGTTAAATGTTATTACATACTTAAAGTAAATGCGACTTCAATTTTATTAACAACTTAAGTAAAAAAGGCATGTTCTTGTAGGTAAATTCTATGTGGTGGACTCCGGATATGCAAACATCCGGGTTTTATGACACCATATCATGGTGAAAGTTATCATATATCTTCCGGAGTGGTGGGGGTCTATCCAATTGTTCGACAATGCTCGTGAGGTTTTTAACAGACGACATGCCACTGTCCGTAATGTTATCGAACGCAACTTTGGTTTGCTAAAAGGGAAGTTTCCAATCATAAAGGGGTTGATGCCAAACTACACAGTTCACTCCCAAACCAACATAGTAATAGCATGTTGTGTTCTACACAATTTTATTCGGATGCATGAACCGCTCGCAAACATGGCGCCTGAATTCAGCAACCCAGAATATGTACCACGACATGATCCATCTGATCGGACTACACCTTTTATGTCAAGCAATAACTCCAACGTCGACGCTGGTGAGAAATGTGTGTTGCATGACATGATAGCCCAAGCGCTATGATATCGTATGTATTAATGAAACCCGAAGAGACGAACAATTGTATTAATGAAAACCGAAGAGACCAAGTTCGATGTTTATTTTCTATCTAATCATGCATGTTGGTTAGATATAATTGACAAATAGATTATCGGTTACAATGTACACAACCCTAATGGAAAACTGAGGTGCATTAAATTAAACAACAAAATGTAGTAATTAACATTTTTTACTATATCTTTAATTAAATAATAATAAAATTATAAAAAGGACAATTATGTCATGAATAAAGAATGTTAACTATAATTATATGATGAATAAATATACAACATGAGCCAAAAAATGCACCAAACTTTATAGATAATTGATATTAACCAATTTCAGTTAAAAAAACATATAATGTCGGATTACACATTTGTCCACATAACCATCCAAAACATAATTCATGTAATGGTAACCTCAAAACAAGCACAATAATAACGAGCCATAGTGAATGAGCACATCGAGCCCTCAACGATTCCACTAATGTCGACAAATTCCCTAGCATGATTATTTTGCATCAAAACTTTGCCATGGCCAACAATAATTTCAACTTCGTACGTAGTTTCATTATATATCAATAGTGCCCGAACCAAATCCTCACATTCACCAACCACATGTGACCGCCAAAATTGAATCGGTATCGACTACATTTGAAACATGTTATGAATGTAATGTGGTTCACACAAATTTAATAAATATGGAAAACAAGAAATTCATTAGTCCATTACCAAGCGTGCACGTTCAATGTGTGTTTTCTTGATATCCAGAGTAAAACAATGTCGCAAAGGCCGCTCAATATTATCCTCGTCAACCACGGTGACTAAAAAGTCTATCAAGCTGTTGCGGTCGAACCAAAGATAGTACTCTCTCCTTATATTACCCGTCACTGAAGAATATCCGCTCATCATTCCCTTTGATAGTCACCTCATACGTACGGCCTTCTCTCGTGGTTAGCGTACATTGAAGAGGTACATCATCCACGTATTGATGGACGAGACCAACCGAGAGTTTCTGTAATGTAGTATAAACATTGCTTAGTCGAGTCAAAAATCAAAATTAACTTCAATTGATTATATAAGCCATATTCATCGGTTTTACAATAAGCTATCTTTCTTGACTGGCTGGGATATAAATAACCAAAAAGAAATCTTTCTAAAGGAGTCGGCATCTTCGGTGACCTGTACGCGGAATACATGAACACATTATCTTTCAATGAACAAAAAAATGTCGAAAACAACACATTGTGGCTAGGGTAAAAATTCTACTAGGATTTTTCTTCAAATGAAATATGATTTCACAAACATTGACATTATGCAAATTGAATAATTCCCAACGAAGTTGACTGAGTTGTCCAAATTTCACATAATAATTCACAGAATTCTCTTTCGCCCATCTTTGCTAGTGAGGCCAACATTTACTCTTGTGGAAGCACCCATCTCCACAAAATTTGTGAGCACTTCTTTTCAATCATTTCCACTTTACCAAGAATAACAAGGAATTAATTTTTTTTCTTAACACACGGAAGAATTGGTCCAGTGGTGAAACAAACATTGAAAGTTGATACAATGGCAAGGAACATGAAATCGAAGCCGGACAATTATGGACAAAATTATGGGTGAAATCGAACCCGAACAATTCTTTGTTTCACTTTGTTAGGTAAATGAGATAGAAGAGGGGAACCTTGTGGGGCTCTTCGACCCCTCGCCCTATCTTCCTAAGTGCCAGCCTATCATCAGAGTAAACTGAAACCGCGTTCAAACAATGAAATAACATAAGGGTAGAAGCATTCTTGACTTCACTGCGCTTCTAAATTACATCTATCCTCGTCCATTGAATATAAGAGAGCAAATGATGGAGTAGTTCGCCCACTTCCCCAAGTTTAGAGTCAATCTCCTAGCCTTGGGACCTCGACTCAATCAATAATGGCTGGATGTCGGAAGGAAAAGTAATCATGGAAGCTAGAGTTGCGGCCATCGGCTTTACGAGAATATTTCGTAGGACAAATCGTTGTCACTGCTTTCTTTTGCAGAGGGATAGTCGCGGCGGGATCTCGTCGGAGTCTTCGCCAAGGTAGGGTCCCGATTGCACAAAATGTACAAGTGCTTGTTGAGGTGGACTTTTTCACCAAGAGTTGTGAATTACGGCTTGTATTATAACATATAGGTGTATTCAACGGTCATAAGGAATACATTTATTTATTTTTTAATTATGTAAAATAAATTAACACGAATTTATAATAGGTGTTATGGTTTTGTTCAAAAGACGTTTTATAGGAAACAACACATCTCTTTATTACACCTCTCTTTATATTCACTAGTGCCGGCTCCACACATTGACAAGTTACAAAAAAATTTCAACCCCAAAAAAACACCCTTCTCTTTATTACAAACTAGTATGAATCTTGTGCGAAACACGGATAAGAATTATTTTTTAATATTTATAAATTAAAATTTTTCATTAAATAATAGATAAATATATTTGATAAAATGTGTTTCCATATCGAATTATTTTTTATAATATTGTACATTTTCAATTTAGACTGTATTGATGTGTTATTTGAATTGAAATTAATCTTACTCAAAATTAAATATTATATTTGCCTAAATTGAATGTAATCAAATATATGTTATCGATGTTTAAAAGTACAATATTTGCTCCTAAATTGCTAATTTTGTTAAATATTTTTTGGACGAAAACACGAATATGATGTTACCAAAAATACACAATATCATGGTATATTCACGTGTTCTTACCAAATAGATCTTAGCGGAATTTGACACAAAAAAATCTAATCTCATTTTGAAAATCGAGTTTTCTATGTAATACAGTATATTATTTTGAAAGTATAGTGAGAATCGGATTTTGCCAAAGTTGTGTGGGAAATGAGATCGTTCAACAAACCATTGAAAAAGATGCACCGATAATTTTTCCAAGAAATTTAATTTGAAATTTATTCACCAAATGATTGGAAAAGTGGTTAATTATGAAAAAAGAAAAAAGATAAGGTAACATCCATTTTTAAAATATGCACCCGTTTTCCCTACAAAACAGTATATGAAATTGATTTGCTCCTTTTTTTTTTCCTAATCTCATGTGTTTTTAAAATATGTGCTTACACCGCACATCCTTAATGGATTTCGTTGTGACAGTCCTCACGGACAATCAAGTTAAACGTGATTTTCGACACCCTTATACGCTACAAATAAAAAAACCCATGTCGAACGTGCGCGCTTGGTAATTGTGTATTACTCTCCGTTTAAATTATGTTATTTTTAATTGATTTCTTAGCGCATACGTGATTAAAACTACACGCTATTGCAGCCTATTCCAATTAATTTTTGGCAAACTTACGTTTTAGCCGAGCCGACCGACTTAACCAAACTAATTTTGGACTTTGAGGAGAGTAGATATGAATTACAAATAGTTGAAGGCCATGGAAAAGTATTGATGCAAAATTGGGATGCTCAGGAATTTGTGGATGACTGAAATGGTTCAAGGGTCGACATGGTGCTTCACATTAATTCGTTATATTTGTGTTCGTTTTGAGGTTACGTTTGCGTAATTTATGTTTCTAGGTTAATCTGTGGTGAAAGTGAACTGGTATTTTGTCATTTGTGTTTCTAGGTTAATTTGCATTGGCGGTGAACTCGTATTTTGTCGTGTAACATAATTAGTTCGAATTTGGTATTATGGTCTTTTTGAAAATATATATCATTCTATCATTCTACAGAAGTCAATTTATATGTCTATTAACGTTTGTGTAATTTTCTGATAAATATACTTAATTCTATGTTAAATATGAAGAAAATATTTTTCGTCGACCAACCTATGTATTATGATTAAAAATAAATTGAAATTTTTTTAAGTGATATTTATTATTCATACAAGTACAACGATTTGGAATTGTTTTGAAAATATGCGTTTACGTTGGAACAATGTTCATGTTCTTTGATATATTTTTGCAGCAAAAAATCGTGTTCGAGATTTGTACATTCGAACACGAAAATAAAAGAATCAAATATATTGTTTTTTTTAAATAACTAAAATTATAATAAATTTTAGATTTATTATTAAAAAGATTACGTAAATATAAAAAAAGTAAAATAAAATTATATTAAATTAATGTTCACGCACATAGTCAAACGTTGACGCACGAGGTCTTGTTCTTTCGATTAACAAACGAACGAGCTTTTGTCGAACACGAACGAGGTCGAACAAAAAAAAAATTGTTCGTGAATGTTAGGTTCGTTTACAGCTCTAATCACGTCGTGGCTTTATCTGGTATTATTTTTAAAATAACCTTCAAATGTTGCAAAAATCTGATTCTTCATGATGGGTCTTACCGAAACAGCAGTGAACATTGGCATTGCTGTTAGATATGCTGTAAAAGCTTGGCTTTCAGATATGAACAATACCATTTGGATCTGACAATCATGTTTTAGTCAAAGTACATATGCTTGCAGTTTATTTATTTATGCAATCATACTCCTTGTCTTACATTGAGATAGTGTGGTTCGTGGTGCATCGAATAGAAAGGTTACCTATTGGTTCCTTGTAAGACTAAACTATTCGTTCACAGTCTAGACAGGCAGTGAGACCCCTCTTGGAAAAAGATTGTAGTGTATTCTTGATTCAGTTGATCTTTGACTGCAGAACTACACTAGTACTTATGTTAAGTATTGAACACGACCGCGGAAGGATAAGATTATGGGACTCACTGGCCGTTTTTGTAATCTAGACCTTCAGTTATTGATGCGTTCTCTAAAGCTGTAAGATAATATAAAACGGACATGTATATTTATTACTTGTTTATTTGTTTTACCAAGGGTGATTCCTATTATGTTAGGATGACATACTCGGTACTTTGGTAAATGAGGATATTTATATGGTGTGTTGTTATAAATTATTTACGGTCACTATGTCCCAGTGCGCTAGGTTGATGACGTCCCCGAAATGAGCTCAAGAAGAAATATTATGTTAAACCCTGCAGGTGAATGATTATGCGACATAATGATTAACGATCTGAGTGGTACTAATTTCGGAAATGAACAAGAAGTTGATTAATTATTTTGTCAGTAATTTAATTAATCGACGTTATATCTTAAACATATGGAGGTAAATCAGTCAATTAGATTAATATTAATTAATCAAGTGGAGGTTTGATTTAATTGATTAAATTGGAGCTAAATGGCGAGAGCAATAATATTACTCTAGTGGGATGTATTATTATTTAATTTTAATTAGGATTTTAGGAATTAATCTTATTCCATAAATAATATTCCATTAGGAAAAGAATATTCCCTTCTAGAATATCACCTAGTGTTAGGAGACGAAAGAGTCTTCTAGAAGGTGATGTTTGGTAGAAGGAGTTTTATCCTAGTTTGGAAAGATATGTGGAGTAGAATTAGGAATCCTTTGCCTAATGGGATAAGCCCATATTTAGCACCTTCTTAAGATCCGTAATGGAGCCTATAAATATAGCATGTCCCAACCTCTTGGAACATACTTGTGAGAGCCGATTTTTTCTTCTTCCTATGAGAGAAAGATTGTCTTGTTTGAGTGTTTAGGAGATTCAATTAATCGCACCACCAAGATTAATTGAAGTAGGTGTTTAGGTAATCCATTAGAAGATTTTAAGGTGATATTTATCAAACCTTAAAGATCAAATATTTCAGCCACCACCTGCCGCCGACCGTCGCCGTCCATCACCGCCGCCGCCTGACATCACCGAAAACCTACCTGAGAAAAAGCCACACGCAACCGCGAGCACAGGACTGCAACCGCATGCAGCCGAGCCACACGCGAAGGTCCCAGCGACGCCCAACTCCTCCACGCATCACGTGCACGCCGATCCCGTTCGCCCCTGCTCGTGATCTGCACGACCCGACGATCCCGATCCCAACGTTCGTGTTCCACGCCCCCACTTCTCCGTGCTCGACCAGGACTCCTCGCGCGCCCAAGAAACGTGCAGAGCACGAACCGCGTGAGCACAGATGCCCGACGCCTAGTCCACCCAGGCCTAGGACTGTTGTCCGGCACGCGCTGGAGCAGCCCGCGCCAGCCTGCGTCCGCACCGCCTATCCGCGCGTCCCGACCACACGACTCGAACCCAAACCCGATCAGCGCCAACCCGCGACCAGCTTCCGCGACCGAGCCGCTGCACCTGACCAACCCGAGACATGAACCGAACCTTGCTCAACCGGCCCGAGCCCAACAAGTTTGATCTGGTGATCTGTTCGTGATTCAACACTCGATCAGAATCGAGAAAGGCCAAACCCATCTGCCTATTCGGTTGTGGTAATCAGACGATCTCTATCAATGGAAATCAGAAACGTCTCTGAGTCGGCAAAGTTTTAAAAAAGGTAATGTCCTAAACCTAACTATAGATTCCGCTGTGTTAGGATTTATTTCGATAAGTTCAATACTGTGCATGTCGTTGACGTTCTTAATAGAACCCAACAATTGCATGTGGTCATTATAACGTTACAAC